TAAAAATTATTTTTTAGGTCATCTAGAGTTCACCATCCCCCCATATCGCTCCAAAACAAACCAAAGTGGGCTAGTTCGTTAGTGCTCCGTTTGTGCAGGTTTGTGCCGTTGAAATTTTCGTTTGTGCAGTTTTGGTTTCTGAGATATTAAAAATTATTTTTTAGGTCATCTAGAGTTCACCATCCCCCCATATCGCTCCAAAACAAACCAAAGTGGGCTAGTTCGTTAGTGCTCCGTTTGTGCAGGTTTGTGCCGTTGAAATTTTCGTTTGTGCAGCTTTTGTTTTCGAGATATTAAAAGTTATAATTTTGGCCCATGACGTCACCGTCACCCCATCATGTTCCAAACCAAAGTGGGCTACTTCTTTTAATTCTTCAGATTTTCAGCTGTTGTACAATGTGTACCTTTTGTTTTGAACTTCAATAAAGACAACAAGAAAAAATGTGTCTCATTTCAAGTAATGTTTCAAGATAGCAATGTTTTCTCACGAACGTAGCGTTCTCTCCACAATAATTGAATCCTTCTAATAAAGGACATGCAGCCCTGACCCTAACGTAATGTGTATAACCCGTTCAACTGTGCTTTGATTTCGGAGGTGGTCTGAACAATTATATTCACATTGTTGACGTACTGTCTGCTGATTATGCAGCAAACGTGTAAAAAATATACATTAGCCTATAGCGGTTCAAAAAATAGAAGAAAAAAAAAATCCACAGCCAATTTGCTAGTTGCTTGAGCAAAATTTCAACGGCACAAACCTGCACAAACGGAGCACTAACGAACTAGCCCACTTTGGTTTGTTTTGGAGCGATATGGGGGGATGGTGAACTCTGGATGACCTAAAAAATAATTTTTAATATCTCAGAAACCAAAACTGCACAAACGAAAATTTTAACGGCACAAACCTGCACAAACATAGCACTAACCCTGCACAAACAGAGCACTAACCATTCAGACTATTTGCTGAATTTTTTGACGTGGGTGGGGTGTCAGCTTCACACAGCTGGAGAAAACTCGTCTAGCTCTAACTACCTTCGATTCCAGAAGTTATGACCCTTTTCAGTTGAGAAACAGTCAGCAGAGTAGCCCACACTGCTACATAGCTTCAACAACCACTCCTGTTAACGGTAGCTTTTCTCCTAAAAATAACGTGCACTTGTTACCGGCTAGATTAGATTTAGTGACTTTGACCTAAGTCCCAGGGTCATTATTTTAACACTCACCAAAGGAAAGTATGAAGCCACCACATCTCTAGAATCATGTATGTTAATTTTACTATAATCAGATGAACAAACACAATGATCAATTGACTCGATTGATCTCAATGTCCACAAGCTCTTTTGGTAATTTTAATATGTAATCTATTAAGCAAGCTTTAGCAGGGGTAAATGACAAGCTCTCAGAGATTACAATTTACAATTAGTTAATAAATTCAGATTAAGATAAATCATAACCTTTTCTCATTACTATCCCTATCCTGTGTCACTTAAGTTACTAAGCGAGGCTTTTGGGAGGCAGGCTAACTCACACCCGATGATAATTGATCTTGGCAGCTGGAAACTCCGTTTGTCCTTGGTTAGAGTCTCTGTCCTGGTGGAGCAAAGTCCTCTTTCAGAATAGTAGCAAAGCTGAACTGTCCGTTGTCCTTCGAACGGAACAGAATCTTCGTCACCTAGTGACCTTTGTCTTTTCTCCAAGTCTGCTGCAGTACAGGTAGAGATCTTTGGGTTGAGGCAGAGAAGTTGGTCGAATCAGGAACCAGGGCTGGGGGCAGATGGATCTTGTCCCTTCTTTGCGGCACGGAGTCTCAACTTTTCCCTCAGCTCCAGGGTGTGGTCCTCTGCTGGTCTTTAGTCTGCGTCCTCTCGTTGTTCCCTCCTCAGCGCCGCGGACAAAGAACGGTTTCCACCCTCAGCCGTCGGTTTTTATACTTCTTCTAACCCATAGTTGTGTATTGGAGAGACTTTATGACTCATTCTCTTAGGGTGTATCTGCAGAGTCCCGAACTTTCTCAGCCCCTCCTTTCCCCTTGACTCATTACTGCAACTCCCTTTGGTACCTCCCTTTTTCTGTTAGCCATCTGGCCGTTGAGGCCACTTCTCATAACTTACTGCCTTTTTTGGAGATGTTCTAGTGCCTCCGCCCAGCGTACTGATTGTGACACAGCTTATTCTATGATCTCAGAACTACAGTGTAATGTATCAAACTATAATCAACTTTAAAACATGATCAATGCATTTCATCAACTTATAACTTTCAGTATGGTTTTCTATTATTTCCATTACTAGTAACCAATAATCAACATTCAACAATCAAGTTGTTATCATTACTACAAGTCATCAAAACATGCATTTCAATTTGTATGTTACAGACATTACAAATCATAAGTACAGATCAGTATTATATAGGATATACTTTAATCATTCCAGCTGTTACATATATATATGTATTTAATCATCATTAAATCAATGAGCAAGATTACTGTTATTCCCCAGGCCTTTATTTCGTTTTCTGCGTGTACCCGGAGAGATCTCAACCGCACATGCCAGTTTTCACGACAGGGGGCACTCGTTTAATAGATGGTATATTTCGAAAATAACTTGCTGGATATTGAAAGTTCCAGTTGCTATCGATACATGGGTAAGTATATCATCTCACAGGACATTTAAAGAACTACTTACAATTAAAATAGGGAAGGTTTATTTAGGCAGACGCTTGAAACTCCGGCGGAAAAGGGTTAACATGTCTTGGTTAAAATAGCCTAATTATAGTTTTCAGATTAATAACTTATTCTGCCCTATTGACCTTTAGGTTACCTGTAGCAGCAGATTGTTTGCTAAGATCTTTTTGAACTGCCCTTTGCCTGTGTGGGAAACAATCAGGAGAAGTTCCAGCTTTTACACTGATCTGTGAAAAGCTGTAAAACAGCAGGAGTCCAGGCCAGTAGAGGAGAAGCTCTGCTTCTACTTTGTTTAGATAAAGGTGACAACTGGTGTTTGATCTTGAAAACAAATTGCAGGGAGTTTTTAACTTTAAAGAGGGTCAGAGATGGCTCCTGGTTGGATGAACAAAGAAACGAGTCTGTGCCTACAGTCATGGCCAAAAGTTTTGAGAATGACACAAATATTATATTTTCACATGATCTGCTGCCCTCTGGTTTTCATGTGTGTATGTCAGATGTTTTCATCACATACAGAAATACAATTGCAATCATATGAGTAACAAAAGCTTTTATTGACAGAATGAGTTAATGCAGCAAGTCAATATTTGCAGTGTTGACCCCTCTTCTTCAGGACCTCTGCAGTTCTCCCTGGCATGCTCTCAATCAACTTCTGGACCAAATCCTGACTGATAGCAGTCCATTCTTACACAATCAATGCTTGCATTTTGTCAAAATTCCTAGGTTTTTGTTTGTTCACCCGTCTCTTATGATTGACCACAAGTTTTCAATGGGATTAAGATCTGGGGAGTTTCCAGGCCATGGACCCAAAATCTCTTATGTTTTGTTCCCTGAGCCAGTTAGTTATCACCTTTGCTTTATGACAAGGTGCTCCATCATGCTGGAAAAGGCATTGTTCATCACCAAACTGCTCTCAGACGGTTGGGAGAAGTTGTTCTCGGAGGACATTCTGGTACCATTCTTTATTCATGTCTGTGTTTTTAGGCAAAACTGTGAGAGAGCCGACTCCCTTGGCTGAGAAGCAACCGCACACATGAATGGTTTCAGGATGCTTTACAGTTGGCATGAGACAAGAGCGGTGGTAGCGCTCACCTCGTCTTCTCCGAACAAGCTGTTTTCCAGATGTCCCAAACAATCGGAAAGGGGATTCATCAGAGAAAATGACTTTACCCCAGTCCTCAGCAGTCCTCTCCCTGTACCTTTTGCAGAATATCAGTCTGTCCCTGATGTTTTTCCTGGAGAGAAGTGGCTTCTTTGCTGCCCTCCTTGAGACCAGGCCTTGCTCCAAGAGTCTCCGCCTCACAGTGCGTGCAGATGCACTCACACCTGCCTGCTGCCATTCCTGAGCAAGCTCTGCACTGCTGGTAGCCCGATCCCGCAGCTGAAACACTTTTAAGAGACGGTCCTGGCGCTTGCTGGTCTTTCTTGGGCGCCCTGGAGCCTTTTTGGCAACAATGGAACCTCTCTCCTTGAAGTTCTTGATGATGCGATAGATTGTTGACTGAGGTGCAATCTTTCTAGCTGTGATACTCTTCCCTGTTAGGCCATTTTTGTGCAGTGCAATGATGACTGCACATGCTTCTTTAGAGATAGCCATTGTTCACAGAAAAGAAACAATGATGGCAAGCACCAGCCTCTTTTTAAAGTGTGGTGTCATTCTTACTTAATCATGACAGATTGTATTGAAGAATTGAAAGGTGGCTATACTCTTAAATATATATGTCAAAGAAATAACGCACGGAGACGTAGTTCTTGCTGCTAGGCCATAGACGAGCCGGAGATTTATTACACTACCATGGATTCCTCATTACAGTTTCATCAGTTCAATACTCAAAAATCTTCCATAGTCTCAACACAAAATCCCCTGGTCATTCTAAGACATTGTCCTCTTTATACATTTCCATCTTTATTTGTGTGTGTTGGAAAGTTTCAACCAATGGCGTTCTACTGTTGTTTTGCAGAAAGATTCTGGCGCGCTTTATACTGAGTGTGTATTAGGCGACCTTTAAAATATTTTGGACCTCACAAACTCAACATCTGCTCCATTTCAGAATTGCTGAATAGGACAATTTATCTTAAATTGTTGATTTTATCTGTCCAAACAGACATCCTTTCCAAGCCATTTTTGGTTCCATTTGCGATTTCCAGGCACATGGAATGATGAGAGTCGATCAGATCGACCTAGAGGGAAGCCAAATTCTTTTTCAGAAAAACAACTCCTTAGATAGTATTTCTGCTCTTACAATTGATCTCCAGCCCTGTCCTCATCAATACCCACACCTGTGTTAATGGAGCAATCACTGAAACTATGTTAGCCCGGGGTCCTTTTAAGGCAGGACTGCAATTACGTTGAAATGTGTTTTGGGGGATAAAGTTCATTTTCTAGGCAAATATTGACTTTCTAATTTGAATTACAAATACTGACTTTGTAATTCATTGCTGTTAAGCTGATTACTCTTTATAACATTTTTATGATGCAAATTGCCATCATAAAAACTGAAACAATAGACTTTGTAAATATTAACATTTGAATCATTCTCAAAACTTTTGGCCATGACTGTACTTCCACAGACCAAGTACTTCCAAGTACGTCCAAGTACTTTATGTGGGGGCATTAAGATATTTGCAAGAATTGATCCATAAAAGCTTAGATAAAATATTTGATATGAGCAGAAAGCACTTGATTTTTTTCAGCAGTTTCAGACTTGTTACTGTTACTTGTTCATGGTGAAGTTCTTCCACCAGGAACTATGATACAAGTCTTTGTGAACCATTCATTTATGCTGTAGTGATCATTATTGTTGTGTATTATACACTAGGTCAAATAAAATAATATTCAAGCAGATCACTGGAGGTAGCACATGGCAACGTTTATTTTCGAACTGTTAACCTCATCTTCTTTACAGGTCCAGCTCACATCTCTTGTGCTCAGCAACAGCGCCATCAATGGCGATTTGTTATATTGCTTTTATCTTCAGATTTACAACCAAACAGTATGGAGGTAGATTTGTTTCACAATTATTCAATCAAAAAAAAAAAAAAAAATCATGTCAAAGCAAAAGTTTTTTTTTTAAAACTTTTTTTTTGGTTGAGTCTCTTTTTTTGGTTGAAACTTTTTTTTGGTTGAGTCTTTTTTTGGTTGAGTCTCTTTTTTGGTTGAAACTTTTTTTTTTTTGGTTGAGTCTCACATCCGCTTTAGTCAGCGCTAACCAATCGGAACACGTCTTACATCGCTCGTCCTCAAGCCCCGCCCGGAATGTTCATGTAAACTTCCCCAAAGCAAATAAAGCAAGAAAACGAGTTCAACAACAAAAAAAGAGACTCAACCAAAAAAAAAGTTTCAACCAAAAAGAGACTCAACCAAAAAAAAGTTTCAACCAAAAAAGACTCAACCAAAAAAAAGTTTCAACCAAAAAAGACTCAACCAAAAAACAGGTTAAAAAAAAAAATATTTTTTTTTTTGATTGAATAATTGTGAAACAAATCTAACTCCATAAAACAGCCTCCAACACATAAGAACATAATCATACCAAAAGTGTGTAACAATCTTAAGTGTAACTGAAGTAAAAATTGATAATTGTGGTGTTCCAGACACAGAAAAGAATGAACCTCTACATATAAGATTATCTATTCGATTTCAAAAGGTAAACTGTAAGGGTACCTTCTGGTAAGCTAAAGTTAAAGTCCAAGTGAATTCACTGAAATACTGAATTCACTGTTGCATGCAGTGAATTAATTACCTTCCGCTTCTTATGCTGAAACTTTATAGGGAAATTAAAAATTTTAAATGCTTTTTGTGTCAGTTTGGATGAAATAGAAAAGCTAAAGGTTATTATATGTAATCAGTTTTTGTCTGATTAAAAACTCTTTCAAGACCACTTTAACTATTTCTGTTTTTTTTTCTATGTTGAAGCTGAGATTCCTGACTCTCCAAGTGAGTGACTACGGTACATTTTGTTTCTGAAAATACTTCAGTCATCTTTGCGGAATAATAATTCATGTTTCTGTTCAGTTTTGGATAAACCATGGAGGGAACTACAATGGGGGTGAGTTTACATCAATGTTTCTCAATTATTTTCTGTCATGCTCCTCTGTGAGGGATTTACCCGCTCCCTAACAGGTCATCTGGTCATGTGTTGCCATGGAAGCATGCTTATGAGCAGTGCTGACGAGAACTTGGTGTTTTCAATCAGCCTCACTGGGAAAATCCATTGTTTGAGAGGGTGGGGAGATGTTTTTAGATTTTGTTGGGCCCAGATTGTTTTTGTTTTTTTTTATTTTGAAGTTGTTAGAGTTAGTTGTAATTATGGAGATATTTTTCTAGGAATTTAGTTTAGTACAGTTGTGACTTTTTTTCTATCTGGAAATGTAACTGTTGTCTCCACCTCTTAACTAGTCCTGGTAGGAGCCAATGCGTTAAAATACAGGTGGTTTAGATCAGAGGGAGACACTCCCTCTTGTTGTTTGAATGCATGTTATGCTGTGGACTGGATTGTAAAGTTTGAAGAACTGCATAAAGAAAAAAATTAGAGCTCTACAATTTATGGATCCTATCTGATTTTTGATCACAAACCAACACCCCCCTAGGGATCATATATATATTTTTCCCCACATTAACGTGTGTTCCCTTCACTCCTCCAAATTGAAAGGCTACTGCTTATCTGATCATATTTAATAATTTCTCTGCACAAACCACTGGCTCTGCCATTATCAAAACAGCTGCTGTATTGTTTTAAGTCTCAAGCCAATTTCCAAGTTCGATGTATTAAGTCAATAACATTTAATCAAGACTACTAAGTCTGAAAAGAGAAAGTTTAAATGATTCACTGGGATGTGGACTTAATACAGTAAAGCTTTTTAAAACTGTAAACATTGGTTACTTGTCAGCTTCTTCAGCTTATTGGTTTTATTTTAAGTATACAGTTATTTTTAACATTTATTGTGCAAAATTTTCAACAATATTGCTTATTTTTTGGCTTGTCAGAAGAAATGAAAAATGCATAACAATTTGCATTCACAGTAAATTGGTGGGCTTCAACTATGTCCTCGCCTTTTTCTCCAAGGTCTGTTAAAATAAGGGTGAAGTCTTTCAAGTGAAATGTTAGGGACTATCCTTAATTTGACTGAGGTCAATGTTTGTTTTTTTAAATTTTGTTCTGCTGGTGTTTGGTTCTAACTAAATTTGGTTACTGCTGGTCAGAATATTTTCTATTGTATCTTGTTCATTTTCGGACAGAACTAACTTACTTACTTTATATTTTCAGAAGAAAACAGGAGTACCTTCAATATGCCCAGGAATATAAACCTAATAGAGAAGACATCAAATATCTCCGGGTCCTCCTTTACGGACCTGTGGGAGCTGGAAGGTCCAGTTTCATCAACTCTGCCAGTAACGTCCTCAGAGGTCGAATGACGAGTCCTGCTTTGGTCTGTGATGCAGTTGCTTCCCAGAATTTCACCAGAAAAGTAAGAAAACCAAGTTAAAAACTAAGTTGATTTATATAGCGCCATTTAACAACAAATGTCATCTTGAGGCTCTTTACAAAAAAATAAAAATAAAAAATTCAATTCAATCACACATACACTTCAGCTGATCCTAGTTATAAAAGAGTTAAGCTAATTTCATTATTCAAACTAGTTTAAGAAGTAAGAAAACCCAACAATGTAACAAGTCAAATTGCAGCATTGATTCCTCCAGTCCTTGAATTTACATCAGTCTGTCATGGTGAACAAGAAAATTGTGACAGTGGAGAGGAAAAACTCCCCTTTAACAGGAAGAAATCTCTAGCTCAATCTGGATCAGTACAAGCGGTTTGCGGTTTGCCGCAGTCAGTTGCGGCAAACCGCAACCGACTGCTTTGAGAAGTCACACAGCAAAGAAACAGAAAACTGATCCAGGAGCAGTTTCTATGTTAATGAAAAATAAGAAGGTTATTATTCATTAACATTCATTAACATAGCAGGACGAGGACATGTTTATCTCAGTTGATGCCCTCATTTAGACAGAACTTTAGACCTGGTGAATATAGCTTCTATGTTGACTAAAATAAAATAGTGGAAACATAAGATTAACAGTTTAAATCATTACAAATGTTCAAACTGAGGTGTTTCTGTCCCAGAACTAAGTTAATAGTGCTATTGCACTGTGTTAAATATATCTTAATAATGTATACCAAAACCAGAGTAGGTCAGACTCTTTAAACTGTTCAGAGTTCTGTGGTCATAAAAATCGTTTTGCTCAAATCGACATCAGTTCTGACCTTCTTCCTGTTTTCTGTCCATTGATTCTGGTTCTGTGAGATTTTAACGGATCGACTGTACCAGAAATTCTTTTATCATCATGTTCTTTTTTTTGTTTGTTTCAGTATGAGACTCATAAGTTCATAAAGGGACGAGGAAGCTCAAAGACATTTTATCCTCTGGTCTTCAACGACATCATGGGAATGGAAGACGGGACCAACAGGGGCATTCATCCTGATGACATCAAACTGGCTTTGAGAGGACATGTGAAAGAGGGTTACAAGGTGCAGCAATGAAAGAATTGGTTCTGAAAAATCTACATGAATGGATGGATGAATGAATGGATGCATTTCCTGATTCAGAGACCAGAGTTGTGTTCGTTTGAAACACTGTTCATTCTGTATCTTTTACTCTCTTCCAGTTCAACCCAGTTGCTCCTCTAACTCAGGATGACCCAGGCTACAACCCGTCTCCCTCTGCTGATGACAAAGTTCATGTCCTGGTCTGTGTGATGTCAGCCAACAGTTCTCTGATAAAATCATCAGTACTGGAGAAGATGAAGAGTATCAGAGAAACAGCCAGTGATCTGGGTGAGTTTATAGAAAAGGATCTTATTCAGGCATCATGTTAACAGAATAGATCTACAATAAGGTCCACCATCAATGTCTCTGATTCCAGGCTGAAGGAATTGCCAGTTACTTTAAACTTTTAAACTGATTAAAAACTAAGGCAGTCAACGTATGCAATAAAATGTTAAACATTTTAGTATCACATAAGGCATAGTAATTGCATAAGTCTACGCTTTAACAGAACAGATCCATAATGCGGTCCACCATCAGTGTACCTGAAGGAAACTTTATCTGCATTCATTGTCACTTAATTTTACCTTCCAAACTAGTGAAAATATGAGTATTATTCACTCAAATGAGATTATTTTCCTGCAGGAATTCCTCAAATGCTCATAATGACTCACATTGATGCAGCCTGTAATGAAACTTGGAAAGACTTGAGGAACGTCTACAAGAGCAAGTACCTGAGAAAAAAGGTGAGTTTCAGTCAGTTTGTCCAGATACATAAAACAAAACCATTTCAAACTGTAACTGTGATTTTTCCTGTTCAGATGAAAGACTTCAGCTCAGCAGTGGGAATCCCCATGAACTGCATCTTCCCTGTGAAGAACTACAGTGAAGAAATCGACTTGAATGATGATATTGATGCTCTGATCCTGAGCGCTCTGAGGAAAATGGTCGACTTTGGAGACGACTTCATTGAGAGGATTTAAACTGAGATATAGAGAAAACGGTGAGGTGTGACAGGTTTAGGAGAGAGAATGTTGATGGTGTTGTAATGTCAAAACGCAATGCAGGACAAATTTGAATCTTTTGAACATTTATCTTAAATCAGAACTAAATTTGTTGCATGTTTAGGGTGCTTTGTTTTTATGTGAAAGGTTCTGCTATATAATTTTTCATATTAAAGCAATATTCACCTGATCTGTTTTTTTTTTTTTAATGAAAAGCACTTTAAATCACTTTGTGTACAAATGGGCTGTACAAATAAACCTGCTTTGCCTTTTCCTCTTCTTACCAATATTACATCACAATGGTGGTTGCCATGCAATGTGATACAATGTTAAGCATGTTTAAACTATTGGGTGTGATTTTGATGTAAAAGGAACAAGTGGGATGATTTTTGATTTAAGACAAAAATGCAACGTTAGATCAGAAGTTTGAATAAATTCCACAAATCTTATTTGTCTCGTCAGTTTAATAATTTTGGTGTATTTGTTGAATTGGATGTGAGTTTGATAAAAACAAGTTAACGGTTCATTCACTAGCAGCAACTGCATAATCAGTCTTTAAGGTGATATCATGAATTTTGTACAGCTTGAAGCTCGGAGGGATTTTTCAGGTTGACCAAAGAGAAGACGGTTGGAGTCGTCGATGCGGGAGGTGACAAGGCCATGGACCAGAGCAGGTAAGGAGCGTGAAGGATGGGAGGGACAAAGATGATTAATATGGAGGTGGAAATAAACAGAATGAGTCATATTGAAAGGAGGTGAAGGACAGAGGATGACATGGACTCTTTAACATGGGGCAAGTTGCAGAGTAGAACCATCTAATGCAGTGCTTCTCAATTCCAGTCCTCACACCCCCTGCTCTGCATGTTTTAGATGTGCCTCTACTCCAGAACAGCCGATTCAAATGATTGCATGACCTTCAAGTACTGCAGAGGCCTGTTAATCACCAAAATATTGAATCCAGGTGTGTGGCAGAAGGGAAACATCTAAAACATGCAGGGCAAGGGGGCGTGAGGACCGGAATTGAGAAACACTGATCTAATGAAAGGGAGAAACTGTCACCACTGAATGACACAGATTTGGTTCCTACAAGGAGGATCTCAGTTTTGTTGCATGTTGGTTTAAGGACCTCAGATGTGAACATTTCAGATGAACAGGAAGTTAGGAATGTTGGTGTGGCAACCTGGGGGGTGGATTTTCTTAGTATGAACCCAAATATAAAATATTAAAGGTTACGATGACCAACAACGCCACCTGGAATAAATCCAGGAAAATATAATGTAGTAAGGACACAGGTAAGTTCTACTGGAAATGAGGAGACAAGATTCAGAAAGTTCTACAAAATTTATTAAACCTCAAAATATCTTTAATTTCCAATGATCTGAAATTGAATGGTTAAAACAGTGAATGCATTTGACAAGATAATAAAATGTCTAAATTTCAAAGGAAATTGAGGCTTACCAATGGGGGAAGTAGTGAGGGAAGGGGCAACATCCAGTGCAGAAAAGGGGACCACCCTGGACACTACAAAAACACAGCAAACAAAAGAAAAAGGTGCTCCAACAAAACACACAAGACAAGACACCGCCACCAGGGGTCACCACCGCCACCACAGAAGCCTCAGTCCCTAAAAGACAAGAAAATGAAACAATACAAGTAAAACAGGAATACAATAGCCTTACAATGTTGCACTTTATCCCCAGAGAAAGTGCAGATTAGTATTTTAAAACAATTTATAAGTAGGCAAAACAGCAGCGAGTGTCACTCCAGGTGCAATGCTGATGAGTCAGAAGGCTAAAAAGAATAGAGCAAATTATTAATACAACTGCTAACAAAAACATAACTTGCAGCAGCTGCTTACCTGTGACCTGATAAATGACTGCACTGCCAAATAATCAGATCCCCAATTCCGCCTAGATGCAGTGCAACTGTAAGAAAACGCTATGTGAAGGTTTTGTTTACATGGGGTAGATGTTACTTAGCCACGCTAGCCCTTACCTTCCTGTCAGCAAATGAATGAACAGACAGATCGGTCCAAATATTGGAGGTGCAGCAAAGGAGGCTAAGCAGATAGACCAATTAGTATTAATAGTCATTATTAAAGCCGACAAACGAAAAAACAGCCACGCTTACCCAGAACAGTGCAAAGGAAACAGATTCGGTTGACGCCACGACGCAAGCAGCCTCACGACAGGTGAGGGCTTGCTTATATGCAGCAGCTGAAATTGGCCTTAAAGTGGCAGCGCACCATTTATGCTGCTACATTGGCTTATTATAGGAAAGCTAGAGCTGTGTGAGAGACTCAAAGACCCTGTGATTGTTCTAAAGGTTTCTTCTGTCTTGCTTATTTCCAACCCATAAACAGAAGAAATCTTTGCAACATCTTCAAGTAAAAAGAAAACCAGCTGAACTTACAAAATGAGCAGCTCCTGTTAAAAAGCCTGGATAAAGTAATAAAGCTCTTTGCAGTTTCTGCATGATAGAAACAGACAGCTTCTCCGTCTAAATTTAAGCTAAAATCATTATCAAAAACAACAAAAACAGCAAAATTGCGTCGACATTTTTAACATATTAAAATCTATATACTCAAGTAACCAAAATGAATGCGGTAAAGACCCNAGCCCGGGCCAGGAATTGAACCCAGACCCTTCTTGCTGCAAGGCAACAGTGCTACCAACTGCACCACTGTGCAGCCCTTTTAGGATGTATTGACTTTAATTGTTCCAATCTTTCAGATAATGAATAATTCACCAATACTGACACACAAGACAGTATATCACAATTACACTGAGGAATAATTTAACAGAAAAACTCCAGCTGAGTTTCTACAAGCACCACAATCAGCAGCAGTTTTGTTACTAAATGAGGTTTTATCTCAAAGGAGGAATTGTACCTTGGTTTTGCTGTTAGGTCAATAAAAACCCAAGTTTTACAAACAGATTCTTTAACCCGCTACAAATTTGTATGGTTCCAATTTTAAAATTTATTCAAATTTGAATCCAAATTGTTTTTATAAAGCTGCTAAAAGTCCACCTTTCAGTTCACACATAAGCAGTTTCAAAATAAAACATATCATTTGAAACTTAGGAAACTGTCCCTGTGCAATTATTTGGTGACTGTTTTCAACCCAACATAAGAGTAACTAAGTTCAACAGTTTCTTTTAATTTTATTTTCTTTGAAACCAATCAATATTTAACAGTGTTGCCGGTCATTCTGTGGGTGTTTTCTCATCTGATAGTCCAGTAGACTTGTTTTGATTGGGGAACGAAGTTGCAACTTTTGCTCCATTGTCAACTAGTGTAATTTGCTTCACACTGCTCTGAGTCCCATGATCCAAACCCTTTGAGCAGTCTCTTCCCCTCCTGCACCAACGCCTCCTGAAGAAAACATCAAAACCTCTGAAGAAGACTGAGCTCAACTTTCTTCTTAACAGAATATAATGAAAGATGGAGTGGTGTCAGATATTTGGGGTTGTCAAGTTTCTCTTTCGTTTTTGGCAAAAGATCACAAGCCATTTCTTCCACAATTGCTTGTGACACACACATTTGTTTTGGCTGTATTTACAAAGAATGCCATGCACTGTAGTCTGCTTCCTGCTTTTGGTGCGGTCTCCGGTCCGCATGGTGTTCACAAATGCATTTGAACTGCACCAGAGTTCACTTCAACCGAATCGATAAGGTTTTTAGTCAGACCCGAATTTGCTGTTTTGGTCCGCATCAGAGTTTGATTATGTCTTCAAAACTCCACAAACAAACGTTCTGGGCAAACAAATTTGAGTTTGATTAAAGTGAACTAAATAGGGTTGGTAGGAATGTGCCATTAATCACTCTAACATGGAGTTAACTTGGTTTTAGCTAAATAACTAAAATATGCATAACTTAATGATTTTTAAACAACTGGATGTCTCAGCATTTATAAAGTCTGTTAATAAACATTCATCTCTCTCTGTGAGGATCTTTTCTAAGGAAGAAATTTACATAAACAGCAGATCATTGTCAACTTGTTCTCTCTCTGTGTTGACATGCTCTGGTTGACGACTGAACGCATAATGCTGTTAACCCAGCCAGCATGCCTAGGTGGGACCCATGTGGGGACAAGGAGGGCAGACTATATGGGTCCCATATGGGTTTGTCCGCGGGTTCCACGATGGCCCCACATGGGTTTGCCCATGTAGGGCCACCGCCCAAATGGGTGCTACATGGGCCCTAATTGGACAAAACCCATGTGGGCCACCACCATATAGGGCCCATGCAGGGCCCATGTGGGCTCTGGCCCTACATGGGCAAACCCATGTGGGGCCATCGTGGAACCCGCGGACAAACCCATATGGGACCCATATAGTCTGCCCTCCTTTTCCCCACATGGGGCCCACCTAGGCATGCTGGCTGGGTAAGAACCATCAAGTCCTCTAACTTTTCTATTTTAGTTTCAGCATTTGGAATTAATTGTACAAAAATTCTGTTGTGTGCCAGAGCACTACTGAAATGTTTGTTTGCTACCATGTGGGTGTGTCTTCTGTGGCAGCCATCTTGTGTTCCAGATATAGAAAGTGAGATGATCAGAGCAGGATGTTGATTGGTTGACAATTAGAAGAAAGTCAAAGTAATTCAAAGAACAAATTGAGTTGTAAATTGTGCAACTATATACACAAAAGTTATTATTATTGCTAATTGTTAATGTCTACAATTATTATGCACATGTCGACTTTCTCTTTTTCCGCTCTGGCAGACTGAGGTGATTGGATGATTTGAATTGAGAATGCAGGGTTTGAGGTGTGTGTACATGTGGACTAAGACTGAAGGAAGGGCAGCCATTTTGAAATATGCTGTGATGCCTATAAAACAATAAACCAGCTTTGTTTGTTGTACAGCCAAGTTAGTGACAACTTCTCTTTTCCACACAAAATTCTCTCAGTGTAACAAACATGTCATCTTTGTGTGAGGACAGAAAATAGAATAGTTTTTGTTTTTTCATGAATGAAGTGCTTTGCTCTGAGGGGGAGCTGAGGTTCGGCTGAGTGGCTCTGACGCCATTCTGGCTAGCAGACATTGGAGGAAAAAAAAACAAAAAAGCTATGTATCAGCCGCATCCCAAAGATATGGCTGTTCCACAACGGTAACGTTTAAGATGACAAATGCTTGGGAATGCTGTTGTCTGCTCCCCAGAGTATTCTACTGTTGTGCTCTTCAGGTACGCCTCAGTGTTTGCACCACACTCAGGGAAGAGAGAAAAATCTGCTGCTTTTGAATTTAGCTTTAGCGTTTGTATACCGCTGTGATATTGTCAACAGTAAATATCCAGAATGTCCCCTCTGTGGGACAATGAAGGCTATTTGTAAATGTTGAAACTAAAAGATGATGGGCAAACTGTGGAGATTACACGCCAAAATGTTACGGGGGAGAAAAAAGATTCAAAGAGGGGAAAAACAATGCAAGTAACATTTATTTAAAACAGAACATCTGGAAGTATGCCTATGTTTACAATAATACTGGTCCTTTCTTTCGCTGGCATTCAGGTTCCAGTTTTCAATTCATTTCCCGGAGGACTGAAATATGTTTGGACAGTGAATAGTTTCTGTTAATCTTCCTCTATAGGGAAGAATCTTTCCATGGCTGAGGAGTCCAGCAAACATGGAGACCGTGTTTATCTGTCGGACTGGTCCCAATGCACTCTGTGGAAAGAAGGTTCCAGGATGTGTTGGCCAGCCAGCGACGGTGGGCATGCTACACCATATGCTAATGAGTGTGTACAAATTCTGTAAGCACTGCATCAATTTCTTTGTGTGTTTCAAACTTTGCTTATTGTATGATAGGCCTATTCTAAGAGGAATATTAACCTCTTAAAAAGGAAGTAAACCCCTTTTCAATTGCCATGGCAACTCAGTTCCTTCACTAATGGTTAAAAATAAACCAATAGAAGTTGGTGTTTTCCCGCAGGACTCTCTTAAATAGTCAGAGTGCCGAGACTGAAGTGCATTTTTGCACTAATTCATCCTGGCCTTCCTCTTTTGTAAAATAAGAAAAACCTACATTTGTTTTTATATTTTATATTTATTTTTTAAAGGTCTTCGTTGAGAGCAGAGTGGAACCAAAGTATGTGCCTTGTTTGTGTGCACAATTGAGTCACATTACAGATTTGTTCTGCTATTGGCACACTGAAATGTTTCAAATTTTATTAGCAATCAAAGAAAACCAAGCAAATACAAATTTAATACACTGCAAAAAGGTATCTGATGAAAAAAAATCTGTAACACCTTTGTGACGTGATGGAAAAGCAAAAAAGAGAAGTCAAGTTGTTTTATATGACGCATTTCACCAAGTGATTTCCATGGTAAAAATGTAGCAGTGTAATAAATAAATAACCAAAATCTGAGATTTTGCTTCCTCCCAAAATGGCTCTTCTTTTTGGAAGAGAAAAGTAATAAACATTTGAATTCTAATAGGCCTTAGCAACGCTTTTGCTGCTCAGGCCTAATAAACCTCTTGTAGTTTCTGAGACATTAAATTCATATTGATGTGGCAACCTGGGGTAGATTTTCTTTTTATTATGAACCCAAATATAGAATATTAAAGGTTAAAATGACCAAAAACGCCACCTGGAATAACTCCAGGAAAATGTAATATAATAAGGATACAGGTAAGTTCTGCTGGAAATGAGATAAGATTCAGAAAGTTCTACAAAATGCATTAAACTTCAATATGTTTTTGAATTAGCCATTGCCTGAAATTGAATGGTTAAAACAGTGAATGCATTTAACAAAATCTCAAAGGAAACTGAGGCTTAGCAATGGGGGAAGTAGTGAGGGAAGGGGCAACATCCAGTGCAGAAAAGGGGACCACCCTGGACACTACAAAAACACAGCAAACAAAAGAAAAAGGTGCTCCAACAAAACACACAAGACAAGACACCGCCACCAGGGGTCACCACCACAGAAGCCTCAGTCCCTAAAAGACAGACAAGAAAATAAAACAATACAAGTGAAACAGTAATACAATAGCCTTACAATGTTGCGCTTTATCCCCAGAGAAAGTGCAGATTAGCATTTTAAAACAATTTCTAAGTAGGCAAAACAGCAGCGAGTGTCACTCCAGGTACAATGCTGATGAGTCAGAAGGCTAAAAAAGAATAAAGCAAATTATTAATACAA